CCTTCTACACGATCCTCAACACCTATATAATGATCGGTAGAGGTTCGAGAAAAAGAGAAAAGAAAAAGAAAAAAAAAGGAGAAAGAGAAAAAGAAAAAGAAAAAAAATATATATATATATATGTTCCATATGTGGGAATGAGAAAAAAAAAATGAATACATGGAGGCCGAACAATGGAAGAAACACAATTGTCTCCATAATGTTTTTAGCGAATAAGAGCTAAGAAATCGAAAAATTTTGTGATCACACTTTGACAAGACACGAGATTCATGTTTGAGTTGTAGTTTCCTTTCCAAGGTCCAATTTTAGTCATTTAACCAAAATTTCCCTACCTTGGCCCTTAACCAAGTTACAACCCTTACCAAAGACCTTTTGATCCACACTTAGTATTGACCATTAGCAATGGAGAATCGAGATCTAATTCAAGATTATGGTAGTGTATGTACATGTGAATTGATGTTTTGAGTGAAAACACCTACACCATTGTGTGAATGAGCGATTATATTGCATATATCCTTTGTGAGGTGTTTGTGAAATTAGCATGTTCTCATCTTTGGTTTGTCTCGTGTGTTAATTTTCGCTAATATGGTTTAGTCGAACCTCCGTGAAATGCTATGTATTTTTGCCATTTCTCTGAAAATCAACTCATGATTAATTCGTAGTAATTGCCGGGACGGACAATGATYTAAGTGTGGGGGAATTTGATATGTGCAAATTTTATACATTTTTATATCAAAGTTACCTTGCAATTAATGTTAAGTTGATGCTTAAAACGTCCATTTTTATTTAAGTTAATATTTATTCTCATGAGGCTATTAAAGGTGAGAAAAATGTATTTGATTTTGTGTTTTGTTTGGCCCATAACAGCAGCCCAAGTCTAAGCCCAAAAGAAACAGCAAAAGAAATCGAGAAGGAGCTTGGGCTGCTGCCCAAACCTGCTGCCCAAACCAGGAAGCGAGTCGCGAGAGAGAGAGACGTGTGCAGCGAGAGAAGTGCGATGGAGAAGGGACATCGTGCAATGATCGACGTGGGCAGCGAGGGTCGTGGAGAGGAACAAGATAGAAGGGGCTGTCAATACAAAAAGAGGGGAATCTATCGAGGGCAGGCTGTTTCGATTAGGGGCAGTCGGTCGAGAGGAAGCAGTCAAGAAGGTGAGACTGTAAATCGAACAGGAAGCAGTGGTCGATTGAAAGTAAAGAGGGACGGAGGCTGGTTCGAGAGAGACCGAGAGAAAAGGACAGCAAGAGTGTTGTTCGATTGCAGTCTATCGAAGGGGGCGGTTCGATTGAAGCTGTCACGAAGAAACCGAGTGACAGCAAGGGGCTGTCAATTGAAAACAGCAGCAAGCAGTCGGAATCGAGAAGGAGACGCATGGGGGCTGTTCGATTGAAGAGATGAGAGGCGAGACTGAAGCGGATAGCAGGGGCTGTTTCAAAATGGAGAAGACGACAATCTTTYTCATCAACTGATTCTTACGGTAAATCCTAAAACCCTTAGAATCAGTAACCTAGTTATGTTTTGCTAAGTTTTTCATTCCAACATTTGGTTTAATTAGGTTTTGATTTGTTATTGCCTTGAGATTTCATTGTAATCGTGTTTGAACAAGCTTATTTGCTTGATTTCTGAACTCAGTGTTAATCCTATTTGAGTTTTTAATTAGTTTAGCTAACTGATTGGAAATCTTTTATGGAATGGTTATTCAGAATTCTTAGATACGTAATTGTCTTAGGATTTTGATAGAGTGACAATAGTATTCATTTGGTTTCGATAAGGTTTCCGGATTGAATATTTGAAATCTCGTAATTTAAGCCTCGATAAGCCGAGCTTGTGAGCTTATGGCTTTGAATTGGTACTTTTTCTAGTCCGGTAAAGCTAGTCGCACCTATGAGTTTAAGAGCTTATTTAAACTCGTATTTGTGGTTAAGGGTTGATTAGAGAGCTTGTTTTAATCGATGATTATCTATGGAAAATGTGGGTCGTTAGAGCTTGTTAACGATTAAAGCCAATTCGGGCTTGTTCTTTCCGTTTACATTTTTGGAATCGATGATAGGCACTAACATCTTAACCGGTATTAAATCGATGTTGAGATTTTAATCAATTGTTTTAGTTTATATTATTGCATTTTTAGAGTAATTAATCAAATTCAAACCCCCCCCCTTTTTTGTGATTATTAGTATTTTTACGCTTCCATCGTGTGCTTGATTCGCTAGTCGTATAACGTTAGATCGAGTCTCTGTGGATTCGACCCGACTTACACTACTACAATTTTGGTTGTAATTAGTCGTTAGTTGGAATTTATTATTTGGTGGACTCGGCATCCGTCAGAGAACTAGCTAGTTTGTGGTAACCGTGAGATCCAATCACAACCACAAATCAATAGATAAATTAGGAAATTTATAATTTTGGTAATTTTGAATTAAAATTTTAATACAAGGACATTTTAGGTATTTTAAAACTCTCCTCTCTCCTCTCTTCTCTCTCCGTCCCCTGTCATCCGGTCACCGTCCTCCGGTGATACCACAACGGTATCACAATGCATCATATATGTGCTTGGGTATCACACTGAGGTCGTTTGTGTGGTCGATCAAAGATGTAACACAGTGGTATCACAATGCATCTTATATATGCTAGGGTATCATACTGTGTCTTTTGTTTAACAGAGTCAATATTTTTAGGTATCACAATGGTATCACCGGAGGACGGTGAACGAAGGACGGAGAGAGAAGAGAGGAGAGAGGAGAGAAAATACTAAAAATGTCCTTGCATTAAAATTTCAATTCAAAATTACCAAAATTATAAATTTCATAATTTATAATGATTTGTGGTTGAGATTAGATCTCACGGTTACCACAAACTAGTCAGTTTTTTCTTGAATGAGCCCCTATATATATATATATATATATATATATATATATATATATATGAATCATGTATGATTTTGTACGTGAATCATATATGATTTTATACATTAACGACATTTTTTTTCTGTTTTTTAAATAATTAGCATTCTTATTTGAATCCGTACATATATAAAATATATAATTGAGTATTGAATAAAAATTCTATATGTTCAAATAAGAAATGTTTAGATATTAACATCCATTTTATTGAAAAAAATGATCTAAATAATATTAAATAAGATGATAATCCTTACGGAATTAACGATTCAACTAACATACGTCGAATATTGTATTTTGATAACAACAAGAGTGCATTTGGTTTTAAAGGAATTAGAGATTTGGATTTTAATTTGAAAAGATTTCGAATCTTTGGCGTGTTTGGTTTATGTTGAGAATTAGATTTTGTGGCTAAAATAACTTGGATATTTTTTTAGATCGTGTTTGGAAATCACTTTCCAAGTATTGTATTTTGCGCCTCTAATGTCTTCGGTTTATACGGAGTCAGTACTGCGATAATCTAGAAAAATACATACACGAAATATCTTATTACACTGGTCCAAACTTATACTTAGCAAGATTTTCACTAAGTTCGACTCTTCATAGATTCCCCCTTGAGAGTATGCACTCCGTACTCCCTTACTCATTTATGTTTGCCTCATCATCTAAATTGATTTCTTAGTAATTCACAACTACACCAAATGATTGATGACACTAAAATCACCAAGAGTTTGTTGAATTTGGAATAGAATTGGATTCAATTCTCTACAAATAATTTATTAAAAAAAAATGAAATTACATTTTTATTAATTGATTATTACAAAACAAATGTTTTTAACATATTTTAAAACATTATTACATACAATCATATGAAATACCAAAAATGGGATTAGAATGGAATCAAATTCCAAATTTCTGCAAATCCAATCTCGTAAACCAAACAGGACCTAAGTGAAATATTTAATCTATAAAAAGATTATAAAAAAGAAACTCAGGCAATTATACTCAAGTATTTGAAATTAAATGAGGTTAATTGATTTTTAACGATTAATTTAGAAAAAGATTCTAACGGTTAATTAAATTAAAGAAATATTTTGGAATTTAAATGATTTGTAACGGTTACATGAAAGTCAAAATTAGTCAATGGAGTTTCATCAAAACGACTGCTTTCCTTCATCTTCCACCAAACCAAACCAAACCAAACCAAACCAATCCAATCCTCTGTCGGAGTCGGATCTCCATTAGAATCTGCAATCAGATAAGTTTACAGGCTTTGTTACCTCAATGATCTTCAAATTTTAACTTGGAACGGAATAACATAACAGGGATGATCCCTCATTGCTTCTGGAATTTAAGTGGTATGATCACGATTGACTTAGACGATACCGTTGACTACTATGAAAAGGGAATCCAGTTGCTGTACTGTTTCTTACATCCTTAGACCTCTCAAGCAACAACATTGTTGGAGAAATTCCGGATGAATCTGTGGGGTTGAAGAATTTTGAATCTTTCTGGAAACCTTCTAAAAGGACAAATTCCGATTATGGTTAGGAATCTAAAGCAAATGGAATCTCTAGATTTGTCAACGAACAAGTCGTCTGGCCGAATTCCTCAAAGCTTCAACTATCTGAGCTACTTGAATCTATCATTCAACAACTTATGTGGTGCCATCCCCATTGGAAATCAGATCCAGACTCTAGACGACCCATCTTTTTATGAAGGGAATGGACCCGGTATTAAGGAGTTGCAAAACCAACGATATATCATACAATCACATTGGTGATGATGAAGATGGAGATGATGTTGCACGTTTGTTAAATTAAAACTGCACTCTGTTTTAGGTTTGGTTAAGGACAGTGAATCTTAATCAAATCTACATCGGTTAAGACCAAGACCGATTAACGAAAGAACCACTTACGACCGGTGGACTCAGGGATAGTAAAATCTATACGACACCACAAATACTACAAAACCTTAAACAAACTAATCACCATTGAAAATCAAGAACCAATTCAACTTGCTTATCCTTGATTGATACCGTCTACGAGCATAAATTAGTTGGCTGTTAATTTCCTTTATGAGGCAGTACTGAATTGCACATAAAATTTGAGGAAAAAGAGTACAAAAAGGAAACAAGGGATGTGAGAAATCATTCTAAACAACCCTGTTACTTTGAAGATAGATGAAAAGAATACCTCTTTCAATCTTGGAAAAGCTTACATGTGAACCTACAATTCACAAGATTGCTCACAGCATCCCGGAATCTGTAGTAATCATCAAAGGTGTTGTAAATTTGATGAGAAATTCTAGCATACCCTGTTACTGGATTCACCTCCCCATCCTTAGGTTGCCTATAATATATGGGGACTTCAACTCTAAAGCAATCCCTCAAATGGGACCTCAACTTTAATGCATCAGAATCGCTCGTAATCTCCAAAGAAGGTGGCAAGCCAACCATTGCCATACTCGAACACATCTCTGGAGGTGACCCAAGATTAGTGCCCCAAGCTTTCACCAACATTTCAGCCATTTCCACAACCTTTTGGTGATTCCACTTTATTATTCCATCAAGCCCACCCTCAAACCTATTTACAAACTCTAAAGCTTCGGGTACGACTAGTTGTGCGCTGTAGTCCCTCGTGCCGATCCATGAACTCTCAATAGCTAGGCCATTTCCATATTCATGAGATACCACAGGATGGTGCAAATTCGCTACCTCTGGATTCCTACAGTGCAAAAATGCAATAGAAGGTGGACAAAATAACCATTTGTGCAAATTGCTAGTGTAAAAATCAGCCCCAATTTCTTTCACATCGACCTCAATCGACCCAATGGCATGAGCAGCATCAACAAAAATGTGGTCAACGCCTTCTTCTCTGCACATCTTTACCAATTCTTTTACGGGAATTACAACAGTGGGCATGGAAGTGATGTGATCAATGACAGCCAATCTAACTTTACGATTATCAGATTTCCCCAATTCTAAAGCATTTCTAAATGCTGTAATTATTTCATCATTTGAAGCTATGGGAAAGGGCATCTTAACCTCGATTACATGGCCACCTGCCCGCGTGACGTAAGCCTCGACGGACTTCTTGACGGCACCGTAGGCATAGTGGAGCATGACGGCAGTGTCGCCAGGGTTGAATTTCGACTCAAAGAAGGACCACTTGACGTGCTGGAGTACGATGGCGGCGGCTGTGGTGGCGTTATCGATGATTGAGATCTCATCGACATGATCGGCTTTGATGAGGGTTTTGATTGCTTGGCGGGAGCGGAGGATGGAGGGTTTGAGGTGATTGAAGTAGAAGTCGTCGGGTTGTTGAAGGAAACGCAGCTGATAACATTGTTGGGATTCGATGACGGATGAAGGGCAAGAACCGAAGCTACCGTTGTTAATACGGGCGACGTCACGGTCGTGATGAGAGAACTCGGAGCGGATATCGATGTCGATTATCTCATATTTTTTGCAATCGGACCGGTGATTAGAGCTGTTTTGAGTATCGGTAGTCGCAATACAGGTGGCGCCGCCGTTCTCTTCGTCGCGGTGGCTGTGGACGTCATTGGATGCCATAGGGTTGAGAGAGAGAGAGAGAGAGAGAGAGAGAGAGAGAGGCGTGGCTCGAAAACGTGAGATGGAAGGATTCATGAACGGAAACACATATCGCCATTATCGGGCCACTTGGATACTTTAGGCCGCTTTGGATACATCGGATTGGACGGGATAGAAAGGGGTAAAACTTAAGTTGATGTGATATGGGACAGAGACAACAATTGAATGAGGTGGGACTGCGACTGGGACCGGGACTTGGACGGTGTGAAACAAAAGAGTTTTCTTACACTGTTGGCCACCTCCATATAGGGGTGTGCATCACTAGTTCGGATGGGAAAATCAAAAAACCTTATCGGATTTTGGATATGAAAATCAATTCTCAATTTTTAGGTTTTGGATTTTGGATTGGTTCGAGTTCGGGTTGGTCGGGTTTTTGGTTGAGGTCGGTTGGGTTTCGGTTAATTATAATGCAAAAGTATATTATATTCAATCGATTTTGAAGATGAATTCAGTCTATTTAAATGATTGATAAATCAATAGTATGCTTAGAAATTAGAAAAAAAAAACAACTAAAATTTTTAGAATTTTTAGAAGATAATTAGATAAATAAATATATTTATATATTATTTGAATGGATCGGGTGACCAAAAATCAAACCTAACCCGAACCCAATTTTTTTCTCCCAAAAGTCGGTTTTCAGATTTCGGGGCATTCAGGTTTCGCATAAACACCTTATTTCTGGTGCTGGTGCGGGTGTGGGTTCAGATGTCAGACCATTTGGGTTTTGCACGCCCTTTAAAAATGAATAAACGAACTCGACCAGGATAGTATAGGGCCATTTTGATGCGGGAATTGTGCCCTAAGCAATAAAGATCTTCCTATTGATAGTGAGACTGGCTCCCGGGGAAAAGGAATTACACTAGATCTTGGCAATGGCACTCCAACAAGCTCGGCAGGGAGAGAAAGAAGAGAAGGAGAAAAGGAAGTACGACGCGACAAAGGAGCTTCGAGTGACGGACTGCCGAAGAGCAAAGTCTGGCTCCACTACAACAACCACCATCGAGCACCATCAATCGCCACCTCCACAACTATTGTTGGCCACAGACCACCGTTGTCCATCGCCACTACCACCGTTGGCCACCTCTACCTTATCCTCTACTACAACAACCTCTTCTACCACCTCCACAACCAACGTCAGCCACCGATCATCATCGTTCATGGGCCACCTCACCTCCACCATAACCACCACTGTTAGCTACCACTTCCACCACACACCACCACCACCGTCGACGACCACCATCAGCTACTACTACTACTACTATCTTCCATCTTCATGTTATCCACAACCACCGTCAGCCACCAACCACCACCGTCCATTCTCCATCACCATTGGTACTGTCGGCCACCACCACCTCCACCTCCACCTCCATCATAACCAGTATCACCTTCACTTCCACCATAACCACCACCACTATCGACAACCACCACTACTATCTTCATATCACTCACAACTACCTCCTCCACCATTGTCGACTGCCACCACCATCTTCACGTCCTCTACAGCCACCATCGCCCACCAATCACCAATGTCTCTACCTCCACAACCATTGTTGTTGCAATAATCTTCATCGTGCTTTCGCCAATAATGATCTTCCAAACCGAATAAAACATAATTTATCATTTGTACCAATCGAGTTTTTTTTTCACACTATCATCAATTATATCATATTCTTCATTCAAATTTGGTACTATTATATATGTATGTATATGAAAATTATATAAAAATGTTTATAGATCAAATTATCCAGTTATTTACTTTATGTGTTAATTATAACTATTATATGATATATAAAATCATCAAATAACATTTGGAGCTAACTTGTCTAGTTCTTTCTTGTCCAGTCCTAGTTGTACCAAATACTAAACAAACATTTGTTCTGTTTAGTGTTGTACAGTCCTATCTTTTTGTCCAGTCTAGTCCAGTCTTATCTAATCATGTCTGCATACCAAACGCTACTTTAGTAACTTTAACTTTGAGTGAATTACATTTGAGGTATGTGTATTACTATCCTCCTTGTGTTACATGTAGTTAGTACAAATGCACTTTCTGAGTCTCTTTCCTTGATGAAATTTGTGTTAGGGATTGTAATTTCGGATGAGATATAAATAATGGATAATCTTAAAATCGTGCATATGAACACTTTCTGAATACAATAATTTGACCCTATATAAGACTTGGGTTTCACGAATTTCGTATTGAGATAATTCTTAAGTTTTTCATCGTCATCCAAAGGTTGTGAAAAGTGATATATTATACCCAGATTCTTATTTATACATAATTATAAGCGAGATCGACGGTTATAGGCAGTTAATGGCAATTGAACGGTTGGATAAGTCAAAGGTAGTTACAACGGAATCTCAAGTTCTGGAAACTATCTCTTCAGTGATTGCTGAAAGCTGGCACGATAAGTTGAAAAACACAAGCTGAAGGCTGTCAGCGATAGCTGAAAATTTTCAGCTGTTAGCAATAGCAAAGGCTGAAGACTTTCAGCGACAACTAAAGCTATTCAGTGACAGCCTTATACAAACCTTCAGCAATGGCTCACGAAAGCTGAAAAATACAACACTTAGTCAAATTTCCAAGTTTTTTAGAACTTAAACCCTTGTTTTATAAGGTGATAGCAACATTTATAAGTGTGTACTCCGTACCTCTTAACTTACATATGTTTGTCTCATCCCCTCAATCAATCTCAAGTAAATCACAATTACACTAAAATGTTTGATGACACTAAAATCACCAACAATTTGTTGACCCTGTTAACTTTGGGGGGTAACTTTGCCTTTTTACCATACTTTTTATTTTTTCCAAATAAAATTTAATACACACACTCACGAAGACATTGTCTCTATCGTCCCTTGTTGACACCATCGGAGATACATCTCCCAACCACCCCATTTTACGACCTCCTCCACCGTTCAACCTCTCCCTCCGCCCTTTAAAACCCACGCCTACTTCATTTTAAATATAGGGATTCAGAGGTTATTAGATGACCGGATAATCTCTTTGGATCGTGAATTGTATTGAAAGAATAATTTCTACCAATCATGTCATTTATTGTACTTGTTTTGTTATTTTTTATGTAGTAAAGTTGTTGCTTTAAAAAGTGTTGATTGTTAAGAGTACTTAAAAGTGTCAACTTCTGTTTCTTCTAAACTGAGAACTTGATATTGTATTAGGGTTTCTAATTTTCCAATTCTCTTGTCACTGTCCAAATACAATAATTTGTCCCTTATAGCCTTGGTTAGGTAACACATCATGAAATTTCACCAAGTCCAAAAGCAATTTCGAAGACGTCCAGGACCTCCAAGGGCTGAAAGGCATACTGTATTGCAACTCTATATCTCATTCGACTCATGAGCCAAACTAACACTCCGGTTTAGGTTTGATTAAGGGTTCAGAATATTGATCAGTTAAGACCAAGACCAATTAATGAAAGCACCACTTGGGACCGGTGGACCCAGGTGCGACCCGCTCCCTATTGCCCAAATTATTCCACAAGAATTAAAGACGAAAACAAGCAACAGAATTTTGAAATTTATAACTGCTAAATAAATCAAAAAACACTGTAAGAATACAACCCACAATCATAGGAATATTAAGACTCTTTTTCCTTTCTTCATCTGATCATGACAACAATATTAACAAACCTGAGGAAGGAAGCTGCAGATAACAAAATATAGAACTGCAAACGCATCGACAAAGCTAACTATACAACCACATGCGAAAAAGGTTAGCTTGACTTCAATGTCCCTCCACTTGGTTGGTTAGTCAGAAAGCATACCAATTTCAGCTAATTCTTTTATCCAACTCTTGGCTTTTTTCCATCTTCAAGGTACAACCAGTCATCGGTATGCTAGTTACACATTCAAATCCACCACGATAAGGGTAAAATAGTAAAAACAAAGGTTGAAGAAGAGAAGAGACCGACCCAATACATGTTTTGTAATGTTATTGGGTGTTCCTTGTCAACCCACCTCGTGCCACATTCCTGCATACATAGATAAAAAGAAAGATCTTCAATTACTTGTTCTCTAAAGCAAGAAGCCAATGTCCAATTGGACTTTTTAACCTCTTAGGTAACTTGAATCTGCTCATAATTAACTAAAGGACCATTCATGCAAAATGAACTTTTTACCCATCAGGTATAACATAAAGATGATGATCTAGACATCACATAACCCTAGCAGGAGTTCCCTACATCTAGATTTCATGTCTGAAAAGCATCTACATTGTCAATGTTGTTGTCTATTTATTGTAAAGCATGAAGTATTCATATCATATATGAAGATAACCTATCTATATATGCAATCCAGAAGTTTACAGATATACATGTAAGAAAAATAATGGGTAGCATACCTGGCTGGATTTATCTGATTGCTATTCATAGAACCCTTAGAGTTCCCAAAACGTTTCGCCCTATTGTCTTGTTCTTTGTCAACACGCATAGCAGCTACTTCCTTCTCCATTGCAGCTACCTCCCTTCTCATCTTTTTTGCCTCGACTTCCATAGCCTTGGTTAGTGTATCTACTTTCTTTGCTAGCATCTGAAAGCAATATTAGAATCCAAATAACGAACAATAACTTTGTCAAGAAAATAACAACAATAAAGAGAGAAAAAATTAACCTCAATTGCGTCATCCTTGTCTTTAAGGCTTTGATCCTTCTCATGCCCGGCTTTCCTCAAGGCAATCACCTCCTTTTGCAGCAAATCATACAACAATCCAGGTACGGTATCCTCAGTTTCGGTTCCAGGGAAGTCACTGGGTTTTTCATCTGGATTTCCTTTCCAGGAACTATTAGATGGCTCAATGTCCTTAGTGCCCTCACAGGATTGCACAAAATTAAAAGTCGGACTACTGCCTCCATTCAAATTAAGTTTACCCCTGTCGAGTGATCTAGTACCACCATCAAATGACTTTGATGTACCTTTTGCATGCCTCAACACAGAACTCGAACCAGCAGAAAGTGTAGATCTCATCTGAAAGGATGGTGATCTCTTGGGCAAAAACCCATTGGAGGTCAACTTAGAGAAGTTATCAGCTCCACCTAAAGACTGGCGGCGTGAAGGACCATTGCTCATGCTTTTTCCATCTGATGAGCCGCTGCGACTGATGGGGTTAGGCGATCTCAAAGTGTCTTCCAGAACTCTAAGTCGCAGTTGATATTTTTCCTATAAATTTATATAAATAAGTTACTAAAGGTTCTCAGTCATGATAAAGTATAGACAACATTTCAGAAGTGCTTATCAACAGAAAGCTACTTTTAACTGCGCCTCAGATCTTGCCGCACGCTCGGTTATAGCTAGCTTATCCCGCAAGTGTTGCATCTCACCCTGTTGACAGAAGAGTACTACTATAGTCATACCTAGAAATAGGTAAGTCAAGAATTGAAAAAGAAAATGAATAAAACTTTTAAGGAAAAGAAAGTGTTGGAATACTGTTCCATATCCAAAGCCAACAAATAAGTTATACCTGCAAGAACCTTCTTTCCTCAAGCCACTGTTTTACTGGCATCACTTTATCATTAGCATCTTTCCATTCGTTAGCTACCACTGTTGCCACTCTATTTGCTGTAACTTTTGCACGAGCTAGCTCTCTGTCCAGAGTTTTTCGTTCCTCCTACATGTTGAAAATCAACAAATTCGTTATGATGACTAAAGAATATCACATGGATATGTGTAACATTAGTCAACTATGAGGATAGAATTGCAATGTGTCTTACATTCATCTCTTGAACTTTCCGTTGGTAATCCCTCACTGCATTAGCCGCAGCACCACCAGCAAGGACAGCTTCTTCAAGCTCACGTACAGTTTGGGTAAGCTTTTCAACCTCAGCAACCTTTTGGCGATGCATTTTATCCATAATTTTATTTTCCTCCTGATAAACAATTACCATGGAACATGTGGATATGTATTCAGAAAAGTTCTTGTTACCAATTAAACGCCTACATGAACTTGCAAAGAGAAGGTATCAAAACTGCCATACCTGGCAAATTTCTATCTGCTTCATCAATTCCTGGTTCTTGTTCTGGAGATCATCCACCATAGAAGCCTTTGCCAAGGCAACCTGAACAGTCCTCTCAGCTTCAAGTAAAGCAGCCTCCTTTGATTTGGTCAATCTATCTAATGCTTTGTTGTCATCCTGTAGCTTTGCAATCTGAAAGCCAAAAAAGGCAGGTGAAATATCTAAACTACAGAAAGATAAGTCATCATCAATACACATCAGCTATCTCGCCAAAAGTAAGAACACACACCTCTTGTCGAGCAAGTTTGAGCTCAGCTTCCAATGGTGCAAGGATGGCTTCAATTGGTGGCATATCGTCATCTTTTTGAGCAGCATGAACTCTTCGCAGAGTGGCTTCTGCTGCAAATTGAGCGGCCATAGATGCTTTCTTCTCATCATTGATTTTCTTGATCTCAAGATTCTACACAACCAAAAAGTGCATCCTGTCATATCTGATGGTATGATGAAAAGAATGTAGAAGCAGTGTGAGGATAGAAATGCTTCAGTCAATACTTTGCTTTCTAGAAGAGATTCTGTCAACTTCAGCTTCTCATCCACCTTTGATAATTCTTCAGTTAGCTAAAATGAGGAAACAAAAGCAAGAGAAAACCGTGTCAAAATTAACCCTAACTATAGACACCGCTTTAAGAAAACATGCAACAGATGAGAAGTGGACAAAATGGAAAAGTCAACAAACATGTAAATCCCTTACGAGGTAATTGAAATTTACACAAGGAATAACTTATGTTGCAATAGCGTAGCCCATCAACTATAAACTTGTAGAATTTTCCACAAGTAAAAGAAGCATAATTAACAGATGGAAGTTCAACAACGGGTGCAAAATTGTCTGGGAATTTCTATCATATCATCGCCGAAATTTTGTTGGTGAAAATTGGAAAACACAAGTCCAAAAGGGCACACACATAAGAAGTCATCCAACATATGACCATGAAAATCTGACTAAATTGGTCCTAGTTACTCTTCGAGACGGAGTGTACAAAAATAAATAGGAACATAGTTCCAATAAAAGGAACCCAAGGACCATATCCTTCTCCAATTTGAGAGCAAAGGTTCCTTTTTTTGAGGGTACTCCCTGGAACAGATCCATAAAAAACTGTCTGTCATTTTTTAAGGCTCTCGGCTGGGTAGCAGGAGCAACTTTTAATTTATTATGATTGGTTTATACACATTTATCTACACACTGAAAGGTTGATTTTGACCAATGACCATCAAGTGCCAGAAATTGGTTTCTTTCCCAAGGTAATACCAACAAGTGCAAGAAGTGCAATATGAGCTACAAAGCCTGGTGGGACGACCAGAGTACCAGATTCTTAATTTTTATTAAAATCTTGGAAGCAAACAAAATATCAGTGATGAAGTAGCAGTACCATCTAAGGAAAACAACATCCAAACCGAATTTATAAATTCAAAAGGAAAAAATGTGTGTAACAAGGAATTGTTATCTTGCACAGAAGTTAACTGACAAGGAGCCAAAAGACTCCTCATCAGCAACTATAACGGAAAGACAACGTCCAGATAGAGAAAAGAGAACTGAAAAACGAATAACTGGTTTATAAGCCATATGTGTGAAACTATGCCATCGCATATCACAGTTGTCACGACCTCAGAAAAGGAAATGATTTACGGAAGTTGCCATATTCGAAGAAACACCCTATATCTAAATCAGCAAAACTAATACAAAACTAGAAAAGCGAACATGACAAGAGCATGTTCTCTGTCTGACTAATTCATAGAAGAAATGGCAAACATTGAGTACCAACGTCAATGACATTGCATGCTTTTGCTCAATACACGGCATTAACATAAAAAACACATGTACCTTACATACATATCAGGTACAAACGAGAAGGATCCGCTGGTTCAAAGTATATTGGAATTAATTACATCAAAAATAATTCAACATCCAACTTACAACTATCATTGTACACAAGACACATCTTGTTTAGAGGGATTAAAGATAGAACAAAAGACCCATTGACATCGTCAAAGCTAATTTCAGTGACAGGTTAGCACAGCTAGGGTTTAAAACAAGGCACTCTACCAGATATCAAATAAGCATTCAAGTTCAAAATTTTCAGGTGCATCGAGTAAATAAAAGTCAACATTCCCAATGAAGATGATAATTCATATAAAAACATAATCAACGTAAGGTTTAAAGGAAGTATAACCTCTTCAACAGCTTTCTCCCTCAAGCGTTCAGATAGTCTGAGCGCCTTGATCTCCGCTTGTGCTTCACTCAATTCTCGATCCTTATCTGCAAAAGGTCAAATGAAATCCAGTCAAAAACAACCAAAATCTCAAACCACAGAGATTAATTAATCAGTTCATGGGATCAATCCGCATTAGCACCTCTAACTTCATTTTCCAACCGATTAAGCTCCAGCTTCACCGGATCCGACCCGTGTAGCAGATTCATAAACTCGTCCGCGTCTAAGCTAGGCCTCACCGAAAACCTCCTACGACTACCTGTACCTGAACCCCTCCCCCCTCCTACTCCTTCCTTGAAAGATCCCGACATCATAAACGCCGTCGTCTCACCCATCGGAGGCCGTGCATTGCCGCCACTGTGGTCACCACCATACAACATCTCCGTCTTATCCCTCATTCCTATCATAGCACCATCTCCGGTTACCTCCTCCATCACTCGGATCTGCACTCAATCACACATCAATAGTCCTAAACCCAACCATTTTATCCCCTAGGGTTTCCCATATATACTACACTTGGATGCGTATGTAGATACAGATGGATATGTATGTAGATATAAACTTAACTATGATCTCTCTTTCTCTCTCTAAAGATTTTTGAAGTGCTTGTCTCCCTCCCCTGTGCCTGGATTTAGTGTGAAAAAAGATCCGGGCTTCTCCGTCTTTAAAGCGTATTAACAAATCTTGTCTATGTGCTGGCAAATCACACCATCATTTGAACATCACAAATTAAATCAAAATTTGATATATTTTTTTTAAATTAATGTAAGAGATGATTATTCTTTATATCGGTAACAGGTAAATATTTATAAGAAAAATTGCATGAAAATATAACGTATTTTAATTTAATTTATATTTTGAGTAACATATTTTTAAAACTTTCATTTTGATACTTAAGATGTAAAGTTTTAAAATTTTAAATATTTAGGTAACCGGTTGAAACATTAACCGGTTATCATGCTGATGTGGTGAGTTATGTTCTAACTTTTAAGTCAAAATCAACTGATGTCATTGAAAACTGTTGATCAAATAAATTTGCTGTGAAAAATGAAATACTAAGGGGTTGTTTACTAAACACTTACTTGGTAAGTATTTAACGCATAAATTTCCTAATCGGATGAACATGAGAAGGGCCAAAAATCTTGCCGGGTAAGAGCGATGAAAATAATGGAGAGTCTTACCCTGTAAGTGAGGATGGAGACTCTTACCCAGTAAATTGTTGCATTCGATATGTTTTGATGTACTAAAATCTTACGCATCAAAATAAATTATAGTGTTGACTCTTATTGGTAAGCGTTTATCGGGTAAGCATTTGGGTAAACGGCCCCTAAATGTTTATTATTTTTATCCATTTTTACCCGTAATTGGTAAATACTATATGTATCAATGACTTGGATGTCAAACTTTTCAAGTTATATTATAAATTATATAATAGAACGAAGTGAACAAGTTGTTGGAATTTCAACAGTGATGACATACGGATTAAAACCGAGACGATTGATGTTTTAATTTCTTATTTTATGAAAATGATGAATTAGAACTAAAAACTATTTATGAGGTAAAATTGGTACGAGATATGAGAAATTAAATTAAGAAAAAATTTGTTGATACACCAAATAAGAAACAAAGCAACGTTTGCTAAATTTTGAATTATTTTACCCTTTCAAAATTTATAAAATAATTTTTGATTTAATCAAACTGTAACTCATATGATTGCAAAAAATATTTCTATTTAATATATAACTAAAAAATATGAAATGAATTTGTTATATTTTAGCTTTTTTGACATTTAAATATGATTTTGAGTGCTCTACAATCCAATTGATTACTTTATAAAACCATAAAAGATAACTTATTAATAAAATAAGTAAGAACGAATGATATTTGTACTTGGTTTTTACTGAAATGAAGTATATGAGCACTGCAGTATGCATACTGTTGCCTTACATACAGAATAAATCATATTAGGAACAGGAATATATATATATATATATATATATATATATATATATATACATGCATATACATATACAAATGCACGTCTTCACGCGTCATCTGTTTTCCCATCTTCGTGTAGGTTCAACAAGTAATTATTTAACTGTTACTTTTATTGCATACTTTCAATTAAACTTTGTTACCAAACCAAAGAAGGGATAAGCAGTTGTTTTCACAAAGTGGAACAATCAGATATCGTTAGGCCAAACGTTTTTCGACATGTCAATTTCCTTCCCGTTACGAACCTGAAATATCGGATCGGGCTGGGGACAAAACCAAGAAATAAATATGGGCTGGCAAATTTGGGCTGAAGGTACTGACTCTATAGAGAAGGGCCATCTCATTGTGGTCCAATACATAATGAAACACTATTTGTTGAATGCTCCAACCTTTTCTCCATAATATATATATATATATATATATATATATATATATATATATATTTTAATAATATTGTTAAAAAAATTTGAAAAATTTAATGTAAACGTAATTTATTGAGAATTATGAAATGATAATCACATATTTAAAATATTTTTATTGTGACAAAATTTAAAAAAAAAAACAAAAGTCAATATTATCAATATCTGTAATATTTATTAATCAGTAAATAAATCAATTTGTATTGAAATCATACGAAAAGAAAGTGTTAAATGAAAAGTGGGAAAAATTAGATGGACGGAGAACATAATTAGCATGTCCTTGGTACTATAAAAATTACGATATATTTTAAGGAGGATAACTATTATTTGTCAAATAGTTATAATACAATACTGTAGATCAAAACCAAAGGGAAGAATTTCATGAAATCAGATTGATAGAATCAATCGTAAAAAGGGTAAATTAGTAATTTCATTTGGAAAGCTTTTAAAATGTGTTACTAGAATGTCTAGAAATACATATTGTTTAACGTGTCATGCAATTGTAAATAAAACTGATAAAGTTGTAAACTAGAACAAATTCTAGAAACATCCTGTAATGATTTATGATGGACAAATATAAAATTTGATGAATACTTCAAGCGGAAATTTTCTGAGATAATCCAAATAAAGATATCATGTTTCCTTTTATATGAAAGTTAGAGCAAATGAATGAGAAGGCAAACAACGATTACGCAGGTGTGTCATAACAATCCTTTCGAGTTACGCTACATGGAACCTTGCTCAAATGGTTGAGCTCAAAGTATCCGCGTCAAGTACTTCATCTGTTGAAATATGGTATCTTGCATCTGATACTTGTGGAACTAGTAATTTGTAATTGATTACTGTTTTACTTCATTACAAAGGCAATTAAAACTATGTCATGTCTTCATTTTGAATAGCCTTCTTGGCTAGCTATACCCCGTAGGCCAATTGATTGTAAGACCAAAAGAAGTAGCTAGTAAATTAGGGTATATCGAATAAACAACAAATATCAAGACTGATTTCTTACGGTAACAATTTGTCATGATTAATTCATGCATAGCCTGGGACACCCTCAAAAAAGACAATGAAAATCTTACACGCACAACATTCTGTCACTCTTAATTGAGTCAGTATTAGTGTGCCTTGACCGACAACTTTTTAGTTTAATAAGTTAACATACTTAGATAAAACGAGTTATTACTTAAAAACTTATACTTATTTCTTCCAATAAAATGTTATTTACTCTGGAATCGGTTATACTTTCATTTTCAATCAAACATGTGATAAACAGTGACTTGTTAAACTCAGTAGCCCAAGGTCAATCAAAACTCAACCGCACCTTTATGCCAAATAGCGTCGGTAGGTCGAGTGATTGCAAACCTAATTACCAATAAAGAAATAAGCAAGACCATACATGACATATTATATAGCTGTTTAGAAATAGTATTAGTGAGGTAGACAATACAGTTTAATAAATCAAAATATTTAGATAACTCAAGTTAAATAGTGGACCAATTTTCTTTTAATCGTTACACACTCAATTCTCTTGATGAAAGTTGTGTAGTACTTTTTTGTTTCAATTGTCATTTTCGTTCCCATCAAACAAGCAAATTGCGTGTTGCCATCAAGCTAACATGCCCTACTTCATCAATATTAAACATTCTTATATGCATGTGTGCAGTGTGTTGGTAGTCCCTTCATATATCATCAATCCTATTCTCATCTGTAGGAGTATTTAAATACTTATATGTTGTGTCTTTTATGTGCTCTTAACGAAAAAGCATCATACTAAATCTAGGAGGGTATTGGATGTACTGCAAAGGAAACATAGCATATCCATGAGAAGAAATGAAAAATATATAACCGACACCCATCATCAAACCTAAGGTCATTTGTAACTCCAACGGAGTGCATAAACCATATTCAAGAAGTTATTTGCACTATGATATGTAATTTTTGTTGTGAACAGGCCCCGTGCTTTATCTTGTACGTGCGAGGCACATATAAGTATATGAACATATAGCCATGTTGGTGTCATTGGAGTTAGGATGATAAGAGCTTGTCTTTAATGATGTTTCAAGTACCATTATTTGGTGGTGTAACTGTGTATGCAATAGTCATGGATTTATGTCAACCTAAAAGCTTTGGTAGTACTATGTTTTAAATATAGAAAACGATCGTTTTGGAAGAACTTGTAGTAATAATAAGTAAGATTTTTCGACAATAAAACAAAGTTACGAGGTCAAAGTATTAAATAAGTCATATTATAACTAGAATAACACATAAAAAGAGAGACACAAAAGATTTAGAACGATAAACAACACTAAAAAGGCGACTAAACATCATCTAACGTTGGTTCAAAACTATTAATGAATTGAACACTTCTATTATTAGAAACAAAGATTAGAGATGATTACAATCAATCAAGATTATCATTTAGGGTTGGAGTTAAGATGAGGGTAAAAGTGTCATATCATGGTTATGGTACATGGGTGGTGCTAAGATTTAGGGTCACGATCAATGTTAGCTCTAGGATTTATGATATTAACTTTTCGTAATAAGGGTTCATTAAAGGTAATCATAGTCCATTTAATTAAGGAGTTATTTGGCAGTTATCGAATGATTTGGTATAGAATGATTAAGAGACTCTCATAATATAGTGCAAAATGAAWTACAATTGTTTGGTAATTATTTACAACGAAATTATGGCGTTGAATGGTTACGGAAGACTCAAAATACAAAGTCATCCAGAGGGTTTTAGAACCATTAAATGACAAACTTTTTTTTTGCCAAACAAGATTCACTTCTTAACGATTCAAAAACTGATTCTTAATGAAACTATTAAGAAGTAAACAAACAACCCCTAAGTTGTTTAGGGTTTACAAGTAACAATTAAATGTTAAAGTTTAGGGTTTTAGGTCTTGGTGTTTCATATTACGGTCATAAATTCTAATTGATGGTAAGATCAATTGTTGTGAATCATTGTACATTATATTAATTATGATCAATCAAAATCTTTGGGATTTTGGGGTTAAAGTTGCAGGTTTTAGGATTAAGGCTACGTTTTCGATTGAAGTTTATGATTCAAGTTCTAAGGTTTTATAATTAAGCTCTAATATAAGTGCTTAGGGTCAAAATCAAT